CCTTTTTGATACAGTTAAGGTTAGTAAGTTATTTATATATCAAGAATACAATTTATGCAGTATATAGATCATTATATGAAATCTGCCCCGCTTTAAGGAATCCCCTAATTTAGTAACCCTATAATTCTTCTCTTAGATGATAAAATTTGATCAACTGCGGCTTATCATACCAACCAATTAAATTTCATTCTGGCATTGCATCAACCAATAGAAACTTTAAAAAACACATGACAATGACAAAAATTCACCATTAATTAGATGGTGAATTTTGAATAGGTCAAAAATTCACCAAAATGATCTGTAAAGACACCAGATAATTTCCAAAAATGGAAATAAAAATCATACTCAAAAAAAACATTCTATCCGAATTAATTTTTTTGCTTCTAAACATGATTTACAGTTCTAACTAAATTTGTAGAGAAATATTTATTCTATTAGCCTATAAATTTTCAGAACGATTGGATCGATATTCATCGAGATATAACGATTTCTTTTTTCGGTTCGTTTCTTTCTTTGCAGATCCTTATCGTACAGATTCGCGACGATCGTATTTAGCTCATACTTAAAAATTTTATTAGTGAAATGTACAAAGTCGTTCTAACAAACTATAAGTTTTTTTTGTTAGACGAACAACTTTTATTATTGACTCAAAGTCGATTCACATAATAAAATTTATCGTAAAATACGATTTTTAGTTTGACGGCTTTTTCTAACTTTTTGTATAAAACGTTTTTATTAAATTTGACCTTTTTTTTTACAACTTAAAAGTATCCCACAGGTAAGAAAACAACATTTTCTAGTATTACCTGTGGGATACAGAAGCTACAGTTGCTACTGATTTGATTGGCCAATATTTTCGTCTATGTTTCAAAAAAAAATAACTTTTTTTAATAATGCTTCGGTAAAGCATTTTTTATTAAATTACTAGTAAAAAAATGCTTCGGTTCGAAACACATTTTGATTGGTTGAAAAAAGTGCTTTGGTAAATTTGATTGGTTAAAAAAAGTGCTTCGGTAAATTTGATTGGTTCAATTAAAAAAGAATCACATGAAAAATGCTTTGGTTCGTTGAATAATTTGATTGGTTGAAAAAAGTGCTTCGGTTCGTTGAGCGCTTTGATTGGTTAATAATTTTGCTTCGGCTAAAAAAAGAAATTAAAAATAGATTCTATAATCTTTGTTATCTTATTAGTTATCTATTTTGTTCTATCGAAACATGATTCCAAAATGCCAAGAATTTTTTTAGAGCCAGAATGAAATTACCATATTTGTTTATATTAAAATAGAAGATTCTTAAATGCCAAGAATTTTAATACCAGATAATTTGGATTTGTCATTTGGAAATACTGATTGGTGTTTAAAACCGGTCATTCATTTTTTTTTTTAATAAATTGTATCATTTTTTTTTTTTTTCTTGCTTACATATTTTATCAAATTTCATAATAAACAAATAAACTAAATGTCTCAACTTTATCGTACAAATTCAGGACGAATTCCTAATAACCAACAAGAAATTTTCGATACTTTGTCTGAAAATGTGAGTACAAAGTAGTATTTCACTAAAGATATATCAATTATTTGATATATGAATAAGCGACTGTCAACGATAATATTTTCAATGTTTAGTCAATAACGAGTACGAAATTATTCACTTAAGTTCGTTTGAATCTAACTTTTTTTTTATTTATTCATTCAGGAAGAAATTTATTTTGAAGTTTTTAGAAACTTTAATTCAAAACGAAAAAGAGAATTCAAAGAAGAAATTGATTCTATTGATTACAGAAGACGTGAAATGAAGGTCTTCCAAACTACAAAGAAAGTTTATAAGAAGTTGAAGGGTCATTCAGATATTGATAAGAATGATTCTGACTCGCAGTTTTTGTTCTCTGAATATTATCATGTCTTTGGTAAATCAAATTCTTTAAGCCAACATGATCGCTCTTGTGTTGGCCGTATCTTGAAACCGAAGAAAAAAATTCAGTTGAAGTATGTTAAAAAGGTTGTTAAAGACGATCTTGAAGAAGTTGTCCAGGCGAAAAATGATATTAGATTCGTTGCAGGAAATGCAGGAATCACTAGAGCAGCATTTAAATATTGTAAATGTAAATATATTTTTATTTTAGAAGTTCTTAAAACAACTGATGATGTAATAGTTCTGTATAAACCAAAATTCAATAAAGCTTTTAATTTCTTGTTAACAAATTAAATTTAAATTGTAAAATCTTTGGAAATAGAAATAGATATTTAATTACTTTTTAGTTATATTTTATATTTATTTTTAAATTCTTTACAAAACAGTCTTTCCTTTTTTTCTACGTCTTGTTGTCTCAGAATCGTTAGAAGATAATGAAGATATCGATATATCAGAATCGTAATTCTCATCTAGATTCTCAATTACATAATCAAGTTTATTCTCGATATAACCTTTGAATTGTATTTTTTTTCTTTTAGTTCTATGTAATCTATTTTCTAATTTTCTTCTTACTTCAGGATATACGATCATATCAACATGTTTATCATTCTCAATTCTATGGTCTATTAATTCAAATTTGGCAATTTGTGAATTAAAATTATGGTTATAGTATCGAATTCCATTACTTTCTTCAATTGAATTATGATTCTCGATTATATAAGCAATTTGTTCGAGAGTAACATCTGAATTGAATTCGATGTCAAATCGAAGATTAACAAAATCTTCATATGAGCCCTTTTGAAAAATTCTTTTTACTGAACAACAAAGACACTCAAATGCACAAGGGTGTATATCATCATTTCTAAACTTTTTGTACTTAATAATATAGTCAAATCGATTATAAATTGAAAAATATTTTCTTTTGTTTTCTATTTTAACAATCTCATTTCCAAAATATAGGGTATCTTCGAAATAGACATATTGATTTCACAAAGATGTATTTGACGTGAATATATTTACAAACGAACAAAAATTTAGATGCCCACCTTTTTTCTGCACGGTATGAGGTTTGTTATTGATTAATGTCAACAGAGTCGAAAACTCTATGTTGTGATTATAAAAATCATCAAATACAAAAACTTTATTTTCGTCATATCCTTCGAACCATTTTCCGTTATTTTGTGACTTGTGATATGCGTCAGGGAAAAGTATTTGTGTCAAATAATTTTTTCCGTTCTTGAGTCACCATAAATATAGATGTTGCAAGGAGTAAAACACCTCTTGAACGATTTCTTTTGACTTTCTCGAATAGTATTGTAAAGTTCTTTGATTATATGTAGCGCAGTTCCCGAATTAATAAAAGCATCTATAACAATTTCATTTATTGGTTTGATTTGTTCTTTGATATCTTCAATTGTTTGTATACGTATTTTTTTTTGTTCTTCTAAATGTTGATTAAAACCTTCTACATTATGACTTGTTGGTAATTTTCCAAATTCAAACGGTCCTGAATTATTATCGACACGTGCAAACGTTCGAAATTCCAAACAACTTTTGTTACATTTGTTACATATTTTTGTTAAATCAAAAAAATCACATCTACAATAAGGATGATGTTTTGAACAACGATTTCTATCTTTTTTACAATATCTAATTGCGTCGTCAAATGTTCCATTATGATAATCAACATGCATTTCTTCATCTTGAAAAATACTTTTAATCGTTGAAGCTTTTTTATCATATTTATAATTTCTCAATCTCAATTGTGTCCATAGCATACAGAATCCTTGAATATGTTTTTTACTTGTTTTAGTATATTCATATTAAAAAACTATATATCGAATAATTTTTCTGTCAATATTTTCATTTATTAATTCTTTATATTTTTGAAAATTATCTGTGTAAATCGTAAACATGAAATGTCTAAACTGTGTTTTTCTTGAAATATTCGTCATTGTTTGAATTTTCTATTTTTGTTCATGTATTTATTTTGTGCTACTACACCCTTATATACTTTTTTTTAATAACCGCAGTAATTAAATGTTATTCTTAAAAAGAAAATTTAAATTTGTTTAACATCATGTGCCGCAGCAATAATCTACTGCGTATCAAAACAAAACTATATAAATACTCGCTCCCAAAATTAGTTTAGGAAAATGTTAAATACAAATACATCTGGTTTTGAAAATATATATTATGAAAAATCTCGGAACTCATGGGTATATCAAAAATATAAAAACAAACAGCTTCACAAACGTCGATTTCCTGAAGATTGTGAAGATAAATCTGTTCTGAACCGTGCGATCGAATATAAAAAATATTATGAAGCAAAAATAAAAAACATATCAAACACCATTGATTACAAAAACACTAAAGCAAAACCAAATAAATCAACAAACAGTAAACTCAATATTAAATTTATAATTAATTAATTTATACAGCAATGTTTCAAAAATTAACTAGTGAGGAATACCAAAAATTATCCAAAGAAGAAAAAAGACATTATTGTAAATTAGAAAAACAAAACGAACAATATCAAATAAATAAAATCGATCCAGTTTGGTTATACATTGATCGTTTTATTGATATTAAAGATATTTTTGAGAACAGAATAAATCTCAACGATCCAAAGCTTTATGAAAGATTTACATTAATTCTGAACGAAATTCTTCATTGGGTAGAAATATACAAAGTAGAAAAGAATGCCAAATTTGTACGAAAATATCAACATTTGCTTAATGAAATACAAACTTCAACAACACCTAACGAATTTGTTATAAGCATTTCGTTAAAATATTCAAAATTCGAATACAAACCACATATTTACAAAGACAAGAAAAAACTTCTGTTATCAATAAGTTTATTTGAAATATACTACAAAATAGTCGAACTAAAAATCTGGGAGCATGATCATTATGCTAACTTAAAATCAAAAAAGAATAAATCATCTTCTCAAAAAAGAAAAATACCAGTACAAGCAATAAAAAAATTTAACAAAATACATCAAATTGCAACTTACGATTTTAATCACGACTTTGATCAATTCGAAATCAATATTAGTAACCCAGAAATGTATAAACAGTTTCTATTTTATTTAAAAAAATTACTAGAACAAATCAGAAAATCTAAAATGAAAGAAACAAATCATATAGCAGTGACATTTGAAAAAATGCATTACAACTTAGTCAATTCTACAGATCCTAACACTTTTGTATTAGATTTAGCAAAAAACTTATACAACAAAAAACATTTTATTGAGGATTTTTATTTCAGACCAAACTTAATTTATTATTTTTATATATTGAAGTATATAATTTATCAAATCAACGAACAACTCAATAAAGCTTAAATATATTTTTTTATTCATTTATATCTGTTTAAAAATAATTATGAATCAATGTAAATTGATTCAGGCAAACAAATATATTAACACACATAAACAAATTTGATTTTTTTTTTAAAGGCAAGCAACCACTTGCACAAAAGTTTATCGAGTCGAAGGGAGCCTTCTTAACGAGATAAACTTTTGGTTCGTACTGAGTTACTTTTGTCAACATAGTTTAATTTTCTTTAAATATAATCCTCAATTATTATGAAAATAATTATACTTTAAATTTTCAATAATTATAATTGTTATTTATATTACAAACATAATACATTCTCTGTCAAACTTTGCAAATACAAAAAAAAGTAAATATATTCCAAAATAAATCGTGATAATATTTACAAAAAGTACCTCAACTATACGAATCCTTTTCATTTCACTGAGATTCACATAAGGAATAACAAAAATTGGCCACAAAAACTTTCTATAAATTATCTTAATATAGTGAAAACAATAGGTATATTGAAAAAATTATAAAATTTCAACAAATTAACAATATTTCTCATGTATTGATTATCGAATTGCAACAATGTTCTAATATTATCGAACAATCCAAAAATATAATTCGAAATAAAACCATCAAATTTCTTGATATTTGCTGCATGATAATGGTCACGCTTGTCTTCAGCGTTTCTCAAAACAATTTTTAACATGTTATTCAATTGTGTTAGATTCTTATTTGCTGCATGAATTTGATTATTATCTGTTTCAAGTCGATCTTTTTCATTCACAAGTTCTTCAACTCTATGAATTAATTCATTTTTATCGAAATTTAAAGCATGTATTCTTTGTTCCAATTCATAAACTTTTATTGTTAATCTGGAGTTTTCTGCAATTACTATTTCACCTCCTGTTATTCTCGGTTCTATTTTTTGTTAAAACTCATTTTCATGACCTCAATTTATTTTTATACCTTATTTTGTAGAAAGAAACAAAAAAAGAACTCAATAGTTTATTAACGATGTATTTCTTTTATTTTATTTAATAAATATTTATTAAATTGAACTTAAATTTGTTTCTAAGATATGACAAAAATGAGATTTTGATTAGAAACAATTACAACTTGTTGAAATTGTTTATCATCAAATTGAGGCATTTGTTATATCGAAGAAACAACTGATGAAAAAATAAAACTTGGTTCTTCTCTGAAGAATGAAAAGCGCAGAGCGATCATTTAGGGATAAAATAAAGAGAGTTATCACAATTTTTCAGGCTGGAACCTGAAAAATTGTTTATTAATTATTGCTAATCAGTTTAAACTGATTAGATTTTTTATAAATTAAAAATGTTTTCTTTAGAAATAGTTCTTAATATACTAAATAATTATGAATTTACAAAGTTTGATAAAGACTTTATCATATCTATATTATAAATAACAAATATAATTTATTGTGTATTAAAATTTAAAAGTTAAGCCCCATGGCGAATGAATGGGGTGGGTGAGGCTAAGCGTCAGTCTGCACGAACACACAGTAGAAAAAACTATCAAAATTAGATGCAATTGTCGATTTGTGCTAGGCAAAATTTGGCTGAAAGTCAGATTTTCATCTTCGATGCGGCCCAGGCGAATTGCATCACATACTTTTTGTGATTCTGACTTTTTTTT